ATTTGGTTTCTCTAATGGTATCATTTGTGAGTATTAATAAACTTGGATGCAGAGTTGGACCTGTTCTGAGCCTCCTAAAACCATTGTCAGAAGAATGCTGCTGCAAGATGTCAAGAGACCAAATTTGAATAGACCTTTCTTTTCAATGGATAAAGAAAATGTTGACCTTTCTTGGATTAAAGAAACTCCACATCAAACAGATTCCAGAATCCCCTTAACATTCACTGCATCTGAACAGAGAGGTGATCTCACCTAATTCCCTGAATTGTGTATGAATTAATTTTATGTGACTACTGGTCTTACCTTAAAAATACTGGCTGCAGGCATTCATGTTGGTCGCCCTGAAGATGTGTCAGAACACACGCAGTCATTTGTATTGGCTAACAACCTCTCAACACCTACCCAAATTTCAGAGCCTAAGTGCACTATGTTGCCGAGAAACAATGTTTTAGCAGTGCCCTCATTTGGTGGTTCATGTGATTCTTCATCTCCGACTATCCAAACACCATTAACTTCTCGTTCGTTGTCATCCATCTCATTGGCAACAGTGCCTCTTGCATCAGTCTCAGTGGACTTAAGTAGATCTTTGACTAGTTTAAACACAAATCAAGTCAAGTCAACATCTTCTGCTTCAGCTCCTCCCTCTAATCAAGCCACTAAACATGTGGTACCATCATCTCCTTATCCACCTTCCTTGAATTCAAACCTGGAGGCACCTAAATCAGAGGTTCAACAAGTTGTGATATCTAGTTCAAAGACTGATTTGGGGACTACTAAAGACGTGAACACACTGTTGTTTGAGCGTCCAAAAAAGGAAACTAAGTCAGAGCCTGAAGCTTCAGAAAAATGCAATCCTTCAAGTGCAAGCTCAAGTGCACTGTCCACGAATAATGTTACATGTTCTGTATCAAGTAACATCCCAGTTTCTCATCTTGAACAGAATGCTGATGCACCTATGCAGTTTTCAACTTTTCCTTGTAGTGTTACTAGTGGGAAAACTGCAAATTTAGATGCCGCAATCACAGATGAGGATGAGATGGAGGAAGAGGCTCCTGAGACGAGCAACACTGCTGAACCTAGCTTGGGAGACTTTGGTGGCGTTGGGATTAGCCCTGTCCCTAGTCCATCCACTGCTAAATCAAATCCATTTGGTGGTCCATTTAGTAATGGGGGAGCTAGTCCACAAAGTCCTCCAATTGCATTTTCAGTTCCTAGTGGAGAGTTATTTCGACCTGCATCTTTTACTTTCCCAAGCTCAGAGTCTTCTGCACTATCCCAGTCAATGAATTCAGGTGCATTCTCGGGTGGCTTCAGTGCTGGGACATGTGTTTCTGCACCATCTCAAAGTGTGTTTGGCCAGCCTGCACAAGTAGGATCGGGACAGCAGGCACTGGGATCAGTTCTTGGTATTTTTGGACAATCAAGACAGCTTGGTAATGGATTACCAGGCAGTGGTTTTGCTGCTCCTAGTGGTTTTGGGGTGGATTTGGAGTCAGTAGTTCACCTGGTGGCTTTTCAAGTGCTTCAACAGCTGCTGGGGGGTTTGCAGGCATCGCATCAGCAGGTGGAGGGTTTGCTGGTATTGCATCTTCTGGTAGTGGTTTTTCAGGAATTGCTTCTACTTTTGGTGGATTTGCCAGCAATTCTTCATCTGGTGCTAGGTCTGCTGGTGGTGGTGGTTTTGCGACTGTTTCTTCAGCAGGTGGATTTGCAGGAGCTGCATCGGGTGGATTTGGGGCATTTAGCAGCCAGGGAAGTGGTTTTGGTGCTTATGGCACTGGTGGTGGAACTAGTAAACCTCCTGAGCTCTTTACACAGATGAGAAAATAGTCATACATGTCACGTGTAAATTCTGTTCCGTTCCATAAAATGAATTTAACAACAAAGGATAGTTGGAAAACACAGGATTTTGTTCTATCCGGGCCACTAGAAACACACGTTCAGTGTATTAAACTCTTATCGCCGGTACTATTTATGTTTTGCATTCTGCATTTTAAATAAATGCATGATGTAGAAATCCTCGATATTGGAAAGCCTCCATCACATTGGTTTAAACAGGCTAATTGCTTGATTTTATAGTTTGTACTTCTTAATGGGATGGATTTTGGGTTTTTATGGTTGGATCGTTTTTAATGGGATGCTTGTTTTTGTCTAGTTTTTAGAAGTTTTTCTTTCGAGTGTACTCTTCGGTTTACAATATAAGTTATTATTAATTAATTTATATTTCTTAAAAAAAATTAGTTAATTTTTTTTAATTTTTATATCTTTTCAATTATATCCTTGCATGTAATAAATATAACATTTAATTTATTCAAAACATTCTTATTTATTGCTCAATAAAGTGTGTAATTGGAATATATATATATATATATATATTACCTGTTGTATGTCATAAATATTGAATCCAATAAAGTTTTTAGAAAATGATTTATATTATAGTGTGGAAGGAGTATGTTTTTTCTAAGTTTAATTGTATATGTTAAAAAAACCATAATAGGAAACTAGATTTTAATTTAAAACATTGGATAAGGTTGGTTATAAAATTTTAATGAAAGAATACAAAAGGAAAGGGCAAGGAAAAATGAACTAAAAATTTTCAACTCAACTTTTTTTGTTTTTTAAATGAAATTCAATGAAATCTCTCATCTCTTTTTCTCCATTTTCCTCAAGCCAAACAAATCTTACAAATCTTAACAATTAACAAGGTTAAATATTGAATAAATATTAATTTGATAATTTTACAAAAAGCAGTAACATCTAGAACAACATGTGAATTGGTGCTTTTAATGATGATTTTACCAAAAAAAAGAAAAGTAAGTGTCTAGAAGGTGTGAAATAAAATTATATAAATAATTTTAAATAAATACTTATAATAATAAAAAATAATTATTTTTTATTTATGTATAAACAACTATGATAGTAAAATATTAAAATATAAATAAATATATTTTTTTTGGGTTAAATATGCCTTGGAGGTTTTTTTCCAGGAGTGTCTGACATTATAAACTTATTTTAGAGCATTTTTCTCTAGGGGTGTCCCATCATTAAATATTAAAAACGTTGATTGTTACATTAAAGTTTGACTCATGGTTAAATGTCATATTTGTTTTGGATCTTTTTTTTTTAAGGATGCTGGCTATCTTGAACTTTTGTTTGGAGTTTATTTACTCTGAAAGTTTCAAAAGGAAAGCAATTTTGCCCTACCATTAAAATTGATTGTTACTTTGACTGTAATTGTCACTTGTAGCTACACAGCATTTTTAAAAAATTTTAAAAAATTCACCTAGATAGTAAGAACACTTCCATTAATATCAATAAAAAAAACTCTATGGACAACAACAAGTAGTTCTAAATCATCCAAACCCACACTTATACCCGAAAACAATCAACTACCCATTGAGTCAATTCATATGAACTTGGCCACATGTAAGCTCTCTTCTTCTATATTCGACGATTCCATTAGCTCACTCAACTATGACAACTTCGCAGACTTTGACTTTGACTTAGACACTCTTGAGAGCTTCACAACATCAAACTTGACCATGGCAACTTGGATGTTATGCGAGGAGCACGTGGCATGTCGAGGGAGGATGACAACAATCTAGAAGAAGTTAAGAATGATGGATTTGCCTTTGATATATAGAGCAGCAATGTTGTGGGCTTGAGCAGTCATTTCTAAGGGGTAAAAATGCCGAGCCATGTGTAAGACTTCTTGCGAGGCTTGCGAATCTCGAACATCCATTTTTTCCAGCTTCGCATTTGGATCAATGGTAGTGTAGGAGGTTGCTGGTAAAAGAGAAGGAAGAAGGAGAAGAGGATGAAGAAGGGAGGGAAAAATTGCTCTATTTTAAAAATTTTCAGGGGGCCCTACTTAGGATATCCAACGTCTATGGAAAAAAATTTTAAGATAAATATGCCATTTAACCCTTGATCAAACTTTAGTTTAACGGTTAATGTTTTTTGATATTTAACAGTGGAGTAAAAATATTTTCCTTATAAATAAGTTTGGGGCAAAAATGCTTCAAAAAAAAGTTTAGAGTGTCAAGCACCTTGGAGAAAAAAGTTTTAAGATAAATTTGCCATTTAACTCTATTTTTTTACATGAAGGTATAAAGCGGGATTAAACTTGTATTATTTCAAAGGTCAGCTTTTAATATTTAGTTTTGAAATAATACAATTGACTTTCATTAGGATGAGCTTTGAAAGGTAGAAACCAGTCTATTTTTTGTATTATTTTTTAATACTAAATATATTTATTTCTAAAAATCATTAAATTTCATTGTATAAATTTGTAATTGTAAGTTTGATATTCTTTAAGAAACAGAAGTTTATTTATTTTATATAACTGTTTTCTTCCATTTTTATAAGGATAAATGATGACGCTAGTGTTAATTTGAATTATCAAATTTTAGAATATTTGTTTTGAGTTGTATTTGTACTCCCTCCATTTAAATTCTAAAACATGTACTCCCTCCATTCAAATTGTAAAGCACTTTTTCTAGCTTAGTTCAATTCAAAATATAGGACACTTGGTAGTTTTAAAAATTACTTTGCCACTTTTATCCATGTATTTATTAATGTGAGTTTTTTGTGTAGCATACGAGTTTATCACAAACTGAAGGTAAAATCATAAGCATAAGAAGATTAAATAGCTAGGAATTAAATAACGACTTCAAATGCTACACAAGAATGAGGTTGGTTATCATACAATTTCTTTTGGTACATGAGAGGGTACTCTTGCACTAAAGGTGATCCGGAGCCATATCAATACTCTTTGAACCATTGAGCGCATCCTTGGCAAGCCTATCTGCTACTTGATTTCATTATTTATCATATAACTGGTATAACTAAAATTCAAAGCCGCAATGTAAATTATGAGGAAAAATTTGGCAAAAAAGAGGGGGGCGGGGGGGAGCATAACTAAATTTAAATTGCTGGAAAATTTTCTTGTTAATGTATGGTGAAAAGATGGTGTCATAAGCAACATGACGAACTAAATATGAAATAAGACCATTAGTTGGCCCCAAATATAAAATTAGATCAAACAGTACTAGGATTGTTAATGTATGGTGTAAACAAGATATAGGGATTACGAAGACTGAGAACACAGCCACAGTTGAAGTAGCATTGTTTGATTGAGAACCTTGTGTAAATTGTTACAATGAGTTATTCTCCAGCAGATCAAACTTTTTTAACAACTCTTCCAATTCTAGTAAAGCAATCATGTAATGCTCTAGCGATTGTGCCCCTTCTTCTAGCACTGAAAGGGCATTATGAAAAAGTTGTTTATGCCAATCAACAGGGCTGTATGTATCAACGTTACTAGAGACATGATCGTGAACGAACTTTTGTTTGAAATCTTTTTTCCAACGCTGCAGAATGTACCGAGATGGGACTTCCTCCACACCAGTATAATTGAGAACATTCAGTGCATGCCTACATAGATAACCTTTGTAATTGAACAAACCGCAGATACACCGAATGTCTGGTTCATTTGCCTCATACAAGACTTCAAATTTTTTAACCTCCTCCTTTCCCCCATTTTCAACTCGTTCTTTCACTATATATGTTATTATAGATCCATTAACATTTACCTGTCTTGTATTGAAGCAGGAGTACATGCCCACAACCTCAGACTGGAATTTTCTAAAGATTTCTTTTGTGTACAACTTTGATAACTGCAGTTCAAAATTACATCTTGTATTCAAAACAACACTTGATTCCCTTGACTCCAACTCTGCCGTGGCTTCTTTCAAGTTCTTCCTATGTAGAGCTAGATCATACTTATCAATGAATTCCTTGAAGGATGTATGCTTGTGTACATATCCATCAAAATATGCAATCAAGCCCTCATTCTCTTTTGTAGGGACCACTCCTGCAAAAAAAGTGTCTTTGAGGTAAACCGGAACCCACAGATGCTTATCGTTATACAATATTTGAAGCCATTTATTATCCCCCAATCCATGCTGCTTCATCATATCAGCCCAATAATTTTCAAATTCGACTATCTTTAAGGACTCATAAACTGCCCTATTCAGTTGCCTTTTGATTGTTTCATATCCCTTCAACCCGCCCAACTTTTCAGGAACTCTCTGCATGATATACTGCAAAGAATAACAATGACGAGCATGAGGAAAAACCTGAGCAACTGCACTTTGCAAGGGCTTGCACTGGTCAGTAATAACAACATGTGGTGGGCAACCAAGCATACATTTTAGCCATGCATTAAATATCCAAACAAAATAATCAACCTTTTCATACCCAAGGAAGCCACAGCCCAGTAGCACTGACTGTCCATGGTTGCTTACGCCAACAAATGATATCAGAGGGATCTCATATTTGTTTGCCAAACAAGTTGTATCTATAATAACAATGTCATTAAAGTAACTGTAAGACACCCTTGACCTGGCATCAGCCCAAAACACATTTCTTAGGTGCCCATCATCATCAATATCAAATAAGTAAAAGAAATCTGGGTTTGTCAGTTTCATTCGGCAAAAATAATTATAAATAGCATGGCCATCCCCTTCTTTAAGTTCCAAATATTTCAAATTATCGAAGTTCATCTCCTGTCCTTCAACAAAATTGGAGAATCTATAATAACCAGCATCCATGACAGCTGTTCGATACAATTTAATGGTATGTATTTCTGTAATAGGATCTGGTGGTGGTTGTGCTTCTCTGGCTGCAAGTATCATTTTCTTATGTGACTTGTAGAACCGTTTAATTCCTGGATTCACTTGATGGTTGTGTTGCAGTTCAACTTCCACTATCCTCCATATTTTGGAGTCCACCATCCTAATGACTATCATTGCAGGGCAACCAGTTCTTGTTTCTGGTCTTGGATTATGGGCTTCACTCTTTTTCTTGAAACCAGCACTACTGCAGCTGAGTTTTGCTCTATATCGCTCTTTTCTCCTTGATCTAAACCATGAGTTGCTCACTCTAATGCCAAAACCTTGTTCTTTAGCATAAACATTGTAAAAGTTGTAAGCTTCTTCAAAAGAATCAAACTCCAGACCCACAGTTGGAGGTGGATGGTTCTTTGATCTTGGGTCCAAGGATTCCTGATCATGCTCTGATACAGAAGAGTTCTCAACATCAAACTCATCACATTCATAAAAAATTGGCCCACTATTTAAACAAACTTCTTCCATCTGAAACAAAAATCAAACATAACTTTTATAACACAGTATAACAAATTATAGATTACCATATTTTAATGAATCAAGCATTCCCAATTTCATTCTTTCAACAATATCAATTTTAAACTCAAGTAAAAATCAATCCACTTTCATCTTCATCAAACAGTAATCCATCAACTGTACTGAAATTACACACACACATATACCTCTACACTCCCATTCTCGCAGACTGGAACAAGAGGGGGGATTCACAATTGCTCCAACTCAAACAAGCTCACACGCACAAAGTTTTACCAAGATAGAAAGGAGGAAAGAAAAACATAATATATATATATATATATATAACTTCAGCAATAAAGAAACACACACACCACGTCAGCGAGAAGATGAAGAATGTGGGGCTCCTCACCTCAACTCGATCACAGCGAAACAGAAGAGAGGGGAAGTCTGCGGCGTTCAACAGGGGAGGACAAATAAGGAGAACATCCGACGCCCCACACCACAGCAAGAACAGAGACAGAAGAGCAGAGATGGACGTCGAACACGGAAGAGGAAGAAAAGACGAGCTCCACCCAACTCACAGTCGACGGCGGAGAAGAGGGAAGAATCTTCAGCGCCACTGCGGCACTCGGATGAGAAACGGATGACAGGGAGAAAGAAAGGCTTCGGTACTGTGAAACCGAGGAGGACGAAGGAGCCACAATTGACGGAGCAGTGATGAATCTCACCTACGCGAACGCCGAAAATAGACTGGACAGCAAGGGACGGCAAGGGGAGTGAGCGAAGGGAGGGCAAGAAAGAAAGGACGATGGAGTGAAGGGTTTCAAGCTTTTGACCAGTCGCTGAAGCAAATGGGCAAGGGAGAGGAAAAAAAATCTGAAGCTCCCCACATTTTATTTAAAAAGGATAATATGGTAATTTCACAAAAAATTGGAACCCGCGACTAGGTGAATAGATCACGGGCACAGTCTCCACCATGCCTGATGCCACTAGCCTGACATATAACATTTGTTTAATTTTAAAAAAAATCAAAATACTATTTAAATAAATTTAATTACTTCAAATTTTTTTAAATTTCTAAGGCATTATATTCCTCTCCCCTTAAAAATTCGGTTCCCTGAATTAAATTATACAATGCTATGCGTCATGATCAGCAACCAAAGTTCAGATTGTAAAATAATGAGTGATTAATGTAAGCTAAAATGCCGCAATCCTTGCCATATTCTATAAATACTTATCACTATTAAACAATATCTGAAGTCTTATTTTGTTAAAAAAAAAATTAATAACTTTTCAGAATCAAGTAAATAATCTCAAAAGTTTCTCACCAATTCAATAATAGCATTGATTAAAAGAGTTGGGCAGTACAAACTACTACAATAATATTAATTTCTCAACCTTATTTTCTCAAACCAAACTAGTATATCGAATATAACTTTGAGAGTAAAATAAATTTGTAATCAATCACCTTTCTCTAATATTTTGTTTCTAAGCCATTGTAATTTTTTTTTCCTTGAGAATTTCATTTTCTCCTTCTTTCTCAATTTTATATATTAACAAGATTGAACAATATGCAACATATTTAGCAAAATCACACCTTACTTCAAATGGAAATTCAGCCTCAAGATTAGGCATAAAAGAAAATAAGACAATGCCTTTAAACATAAACCATATCCAATCCACGTGTGTGCTTGAGGTAAATTCAAACTGCAAGACTCTATTCACAAAAGCTTGAATATGCAAGTTTTGTTCAATCAAAAGATCATAAATTTACACATATCATAGTGATACGATTTTGCATGCCTATATTTTTAGCTTCAAAACAAAATTTATAAGTGCATGAGTATTCTTAACACAAAACTAAGACAAGTATTGGTAGCACCATATTTTTTCTTTTCTTTGTTTTTTTTTTTTAAATCAAGTTCTCACATTTACAGATCAATTCAATTTTTTTTTGGTGACTACTTTTCTCAAGTTGAAATGGTGAAATACGTGTACATCCGTTAAATGAAAATTATCCTTAATAAACCAACCAAAACATCCTTATTCACACCCATTAAGGACCATAGCATAATCTAAAACATATTGCTACAGCCACTGTCTGAAGAATTTTTTTTTTTTTAAACACATAGCTAATAGTTACCTTACAAATGTAAAACAAATATATAGAATAACAAATATTGCACACAACTACAGTCACCAATTCTCAATCTTTGGGTTGAATAATCATTGTTACACAATCTATTTAGTAACATAAAACTTAATATTTGAACTTCCAACAACAAGAATACTATTTCTCTTTTGTTTCAAAATCAAGCAAAATACATACTTCTGTAGGCTCAAACAAAATTTAAGCATCATAGCATATATACCTCAAGTAAAACTAAGGTCAATTGATCACATTTTTGGGTCAAGTAGAATTCACAAATCTAAAGTAATAAATGTAAGTTTGTTATGAAAAATTACAATTGAATGAGCATTTTTTTAATATAAATCTTATATACCTAATATTACCACAAGTTTTCTTTGTGAATAACATACCCAACTAATCCTTTCCAAACTCATGACAAAACATGTGCATACAACCAACTATAACTTTCTCCTAAAAATTGTCATCTATAAACTACTTTAAAGTTAAAATCACTATAAACATATGCAGAGTTTATGAAACTAGGTTGTGAGGTCTATTTATAAACTTAAACCCAACTCAATACATGTAGCATTTAAAAATAGCATAATTGTGTCAATTAATATACTCAGTCATTCTAAACTTTTAATAGAAAGGATTATATGCTTCATATATGAGTTTGAGATAAGAACGTGACATTAGAATATTGATTGTAAAATAAAGCAATATGGTAGATATCTTTAACAAATTATGCTTTTGTATTTGCCACAACCACAACTAGTTTCATATACCTAGCTCAAACATATATTTTCTTAGACTTACAACATAATTTATGTGTTCTTAGCAATATCAGCCATTTCATAATATAGGACTCAAGCAAAATAGTCATTATCTTTGATTGGGAATTAGGAACTCATGCATTTACTGCAAGAGAATTTGTCTAGATCAATATTGAGGTCAAGAGTAAATGTTTCTAGCTCATCGCAAAGCCTAAATATATAACTACTTAAAACATATACGAAATTTTTTTCCCCACATAACAAAGCAAATACAAATATCAATTCCCACATGCTTATATTGAAGCTTGAGAAGCCACAACAACAACAATAGCTTTGATGCAAAACATAAAGTATGCTCATTGGTTTAAATAACAAAAATTTGCATTAATATCACAAAACCTACTTGGAATCACAATGAACTCTTTTCAAGACAATGGAATTAAGACATAATTACCAATTTTTCAGTCAATAAATTGAAACATTCCTGACAATAAATAAAAAATGTTAGCCAAATAAACTTTTTTTTAATAATAAAATGAAATTAGCATAACCAATATCTAATATTTATTCTAATACCTTGACTTTGAAACATTAAGGCATATGATTTATTTCAAGGACTTTAGACAAAATCAACATGTTTAGTTATCTGCACTGAGATTTTGCTTTCAAAAAGAAGGAAAACTTACTCATGTATTTATTTTCAACCTCAAACTAATGAAGGTTATTATTGCAACAATTTGGTTAAATATCACTCTTACAACACCCAAAATCCTTTAGCAATTTTTTTTTAATAATCAGAGAAGTTAAACACTTCATAGAATTCTAGGAATAGGCACCTCATGGATACCCACATTTGATGTAGTTTGATTATATTATCAACAAAAAGAGCACAAATCAATGCTACTATATGAGGTAAAACATTCCACTATTATCATATGCATCATACTAAATATAACAAAGGTGTTATTTGTCTTCTTTAGGAATTAGCTATTATCATTAGGTAATAATTTCCCCTAAAATCTCACAAACAATAGCTATATTAAGCACTTAAGAAAATATTTGATGACATACATTCACTGCATTTTCATGTACTAAAATATTATAAGTCTTCAATACAAGAATGCCATAAATAAGTAAAACATCAATAATTATTTTCTAGCTAATGTTCAAACCCAATAAAAAAATTGTTAAATAATAATTTTAAACCCATTTTAGGCCATTTTTAAGACACTCAAACGATGACAAACTCCTAGACCAATAAAAAATTTTAGGAATGGAAGGCATGGACATTCTACAAGATTTTCAATGGTGCCTCAAATATAAGTATGCCTAAGTTTATAATAATATTTAGATCCTCATTGAAAAGCACTTGCTCCACACACTATAGCAAAACCTGTTCTGATACCAATCAATCACGCCTCGAAAATTTAAGTTGCAATTGGCATGGAAATGTGTATACAAAATTCATATCTCATAAGTCTTAACTAAAGAAATTTTAAATTTTTAAACCATAAACACATTCAATGTATAAATAGAATTATTATATATTTTCTTTTTATTATTTTTTTTATATTTTTCATGCAACCCAAAATTCGTAATTTTCTATAAAAATTTTAGCAGGATCTATCCTAAAAATGAGACTTCTCAAAATTTATCCCAACAAAGAACAACAATGATACAAACAAAGAAGTTTCACTCCTTACCGACAAATATTCAATTTTATAAAAAAAAATGAGGATCTTACCTATAGTCAACATGGAGCACCTAGGCCCAGACCATTGGTTTAATACAAGGTTCAAAGTACATCAAATGAGACTTGCCTAATTAATGTTTTTACTCCATTTCAATAATACAATGCCTCAATAAACACATTAAAATACAAGTTAAACCATTCCATCTAGACCAAAAATATTTTTCTAGTGAATAATGTCCTAAAATAAAATTAAAAGAAATGAAAAAAGAAATAGAAATAGAATAAACTTGAATTTAATTGAAATAATTATTTAGAAAAGTAGGAGTGTATAACTCAAACCAAACAATTTCATTTAAGCATTTAATCTAAAAACATCTTCATATGATTACAACACACGGTCAAGTTTCGCTTTGTAAACTATCAAGCCCATATTAAATAGTTAAGAAATGCAACTCTCTTATTATAAAAAAAATTCATTCATGAAAATCAACTTGTTTAATAAGACTCATTTTAAAAATAAATAAATAAAATAGTAATTTCAAATATCATTTAGTAGGACTTTATCAGAATGAATGACAAGTGTAGACACATAATCTATGAGGGTAAGTAATGAATAAGTGTGAACACACAGTTTATGAGGATAAGTAACTAGTTAAGCATGGCTAAAAGTCACGAAACAACTGCGACATGAGCCACGAAACAAGCGTGAGTATAATGCTCATGAATATCCATCCCTTTGTTCCACGTGCGTTAGTCTACGCACATGACTAGCTCCTCCTACAAACACCTTGCTGGGTATACCATGGTACATCAAGGGCTAACGGAATTGTCATTAGCAATTAGAGTTTTGATTTGGTCCCACACTTTAAATCAAGTATGCATGAGTCACAGTAATAAATCATTCCTTAAACCGTAAAATCAAACATTGCCAATATATTAAATAATGAAAAATATCCGATTGTAAAATAATTTTAGGTCTTTTTATAAAACTTTGCACAATAGAAACATTTTTATTGATGATAATTGATAACGAAATTTAAAAATGTACTTATACCTTCTTGTAAAGAAAATAGATTTAGTAATAAGTCATTTGGGACGTTATTCATTTACTTGAGACATCCATAAACATATAATTTACTCCTAATTAGCCAATACCAAATTTTATATTATAGTTTAAATGTACAATACCATCATTGCTTTAGACAAAACATCAGTAACTGCTAAAAATTATTGTGTAACCACTTTATAATAATTCATACACTTTTAAAATG